AAAAAAAAAAAAAAAAAAAAAAACTGGAAAATATTTACCCACCAAAATATTAAGAATTTATTTTCCTCAAAAATGTGGAAAATTTGGAAAGTTGAAAAATATTTTCTCGGGAAAATTTTGCCTATCAAACACTACAAAAGTTGGAAAATTAATTTTCCATTTTCTATGGAAAATGTGTGCTATCAAATGGGACCTAATTTCAAGAGAAGAGTTTTTGGAAGGTCTTCGACTTTTCCTTGGAATATATTACATGTTAGGAATATGTTTGACCGTGCCTTAAAAGATAACTTAGCCATAATTTGATTCTCATTATTTTTAAAAAATATATATTTTTCTTATTTTCAAGTTTACATTCTTTAATAAAATAATATTACACGTAAACTCAATTTTTTAAAAAATATTTTAACAACACATTTTCCATCAAAATACTATTTCAAAATATATCTTGAGCAAAAAGTGTGGTTCAAACATGCATTTATTTTTAAAAAGTAAGCGTAGATTTACTTCCTAAAAAAGAATTTTGTTAGTAAAGAGAAAAATAATTTGGAAATCACATCAATTAATAACAATCACATATACACTAACATTTTCAGAAAAGAAAATTGGATAGCAATAAAAAAGTTAGGATCTAATATTTCATAATGTCTTGATATGATAGAGTAATGTATCAGACTCTATCCATTTAGGTGGATGAAGGTAACAAAGTCCAGATTAAGTGTTTGTTTGGTAGGGATTTTTGGGGGAAGAATTGATTTTTGAATAGTGATATGATGGGAAATGTGTGGTTGAAAAAAAGAAAAAATTATTGATATAATGGAAAATATTATTTTATTGAATAATATGTGGTTGAAAATGAGAATTGATTTACTGTAAAATTTGAGAATAAAAAACAAACAGGCCCTAAATTAAACGAATCCTATATTTTAATTAAATTTATTATATTCTTTCTCTATGTACTATGTAGTGTAATTAAAATCTACTAAAAATCTCAAATCGGAATTAACAATTAATTTTAATTATATATTTTATCGACTTATATCAAAATTTACTAAAAATCTAATTTTGAATATACACCGAACAGGGGCAAAGTGATATTTTAGTTCGACTTTGAGAATTAATTTATAAGAAATTCTTTTCAATATGATCTTATGAGACTTTGATCGTACATTCTTAGAAGTGACAAAATGGCCAAATAGCGAGTTGACTCGTAAACTCGACTCATCGAGGCTCGACCCATTAGTTCGTTTCGAAACTCTAGACAATAATAATGCAAGTAGCAAATGTATGATGGAATGCCATTCAAACTCTCTCTTTAAGCACATGGAAGTAAAGCCAAAAACTCTTTTCCCTCTTAAAACTGAAAAGATTTTCAAAGTCGCACTAATATTTTTCCATTCCCTCCCCTCTCAAATTTCCTTAAAATTTATTTTTCCCTCGCGAAAAACAACACCCAATTTTCCTTCCCCTTTTCTCCCCCGCCTTCGAAACCCTAATTTTCGTTTTCAACAAATTTTGATTCCATTCTTCTACATTTCGTTATCCAAACTGCAATGGAAAATAATTCTGCTGAAATCCCACCTCCAAATTGGATTGATCCCGCCAAAACCCTAGACGGACAAACCTTGGATCAACGCACGGGTTCTTACTCCAAACTCGAAAATCCTTTAATTGTTGAAAATTCATCGACGTTGGGCTCTGAAGAGTTGCAGGACGATTCTGACTTGCTAGACGCATTTTTGTACATGGATGAAGAGAACGAGGAGAAAGAGAGTGAAATTAGAGAGGATGAACACTCGAATTGGTCACCGACCACCGCTTTTTCTGCCGGGCCGTGCTCCAAAAATTTTGATTTCAACGGAGAATCTTTGGCTTTGAATATTAAACCCTCGGCCTCAGATTGGGGTAAATGGCCTTCACCAAAAAGACCGGCCGAAATTGAATCCAATACACCTGTTTTGACTTTACTATTGGAAGATGCCAAGCCTGTAATAGTGGTAAAATTACTATTATTATTCTTATTTTTTTTTAAAATTTTTTTCTTGGCTAATATATGTCATGTTCATGTTCATGTTGAATTTTGACATTTTGGTCTTTGATACACCATTTTGTGCTAGGGTTATTTTTCTCTCAATGTTTTGTCTACCTGTATAATTCTTGTTGCTGCATGCCTTTTGCCTTCTCTTTTAATTTGACATTTAATTATCTACACGTGAAAAATTTACAGGGAGCAGGTTTTGCAAATTTGGGCAACACGTGCTTTCTGAATGCAGTGTTACAATGCTTTATACACACTGTGCCACTTCTTCAAGGCCTTTTTTACTCTTCCCATTCGACTCCTTGTCAATGTAAGATCAACAGTGTGTTCTTATTCGAGCTGTCAGTTGTCTGAGCGCTTGTCAATTTTGTTTGATTAAAAACCAAAAGTAGGACTTGCAAAATTTTGTTTTTAGAAAGTATGGACTTGAAAGGATTTTCGTATTCATGTTTGGAATTGGGTTTTTACTCTCCTGCGTAATGATTTGCAGTTTACAGTGATGGGTTCTGTGTGCTCTGTGATCTGCGTGAGCTTGTTGAACTTTCATTGATTTCTGCTGGCAGAACTGTCACCCCTGGGAAGCTTGTCAACAATCTGAGCTGTATCCTCTTTTGTGTTTCGATTAAATATGAGTGGGGTAATCATAGATAATGTGCTTATTTTTTTAGTAATTTACTGTTTGGTGTTCTCAAATGGCATTTTGTTTTGATTGTTTGAAGTTGACAAGATTTATCTTTCTCATGTTAGAGCAATGGGATGTGTATTATCTGAGTTCTGATTGAAATTCAAATGCAAACGCTTTATCCAGTTTCTTTACCATAAATGCTATTTAGTTGTGGGAATTTACTTAATATGTCAGAATTCTTGGTTGCTTTATAATTCCTTGACTCTAGAAAACTGCTAGATTTTTCATCAAGTTTCAGAAGGTTTCAACAGGAAGATGCTCATGAATTTCTGCAGTGCTTTTTGGATAGACTTGAAAGTTCTGAAAATTCAAAGCTGAAAGCAGTGTCTTCACGGAATGACAACTTTGTGAAGCAGGTTTTTGGTGGTCGTCTTGTCAGCAAAGTATGAGTTCGAGGATAATCTTTTATTTTTTTCCCCTTTCTGTGTACCACCTAAAATTTAATTCTTGCAACCAAAATTGTGTGTGAATGTGCACTTGTCTATGCATTATTATCTGTTTAATTATTTCGTCTTTGAAATTGCAGCTAAAGTGTTGCAACTGTGGTCACAGTTCTGACACTTATGAGCCATCAATAGACCTAAGTTTGGAGATTGAGGATGTAGACACGCTGTTAATAGCTTTACAATCCTTCACAAAGGTTGAAAAAATTGAAGATCCAGAGACTAGGTTTACATGTGAAGAGTGTAAGGAGCAAGTATCAGTTGAGAAACAACTTGTGTTGGACTGTGCCCCTTCAATTGCTGCATTTCACTTGAAGAGATTCAAAAGTGATGGTTGTTATGTTGAAAAGATTGACAAGCATGTGGCATTTCCACTAGAGTTGGATTTGCTGCCTTTCACTGGTGGTAATAAAACAAATGATGTGAGTTTCCATTACTACTTCGTACTCTCTGCATGCGAAACACAGTATATGTTACCTCTAATTGCATAGAGGATCAGTAGACATGAATTTTGTTGGAAAATACTTGATGCAGGGTAATTAGGGCATCTCCGAAGGAGACAGCAAAACACCAAAGTGCACCAAAAAATGGTGCAAAGTGTGCTACATGCATCTCCGAAGGAGACAGCAAAACACCAAAGTGCACCAAAAAATGGTGCGAAGTGTCCAATGTAGCACCAAACTTTACACCATTTTGGTGCAAAATGGTGCAAAGTCAATTTTACCCTTTGGTTTTATTTTCCAAAAAAACTAATTAAAGGTATTTATGTCATATATATTTTTAATACAATTAATTTTTATTAATATTAATATTATTATTATGATTAATCTATTATTATTATTATTATAAATTTTAATGATGTAAAATAATTATTTAACTTAATTAATTATTTAGTAATTTATGTAGTTGTAAAATAAATTATTATTTAACGTAATTATTTATTTAATAATTTATGTAGTTGTAAAATAAATAAAGAAATAATTTTTCAAATAAATAAATTGTGAAGAATAAAAAAAATGAAGAAAATGATTAAAAACTATTCATTTGGTGTGAGTTTCGGTGTAATGGTTGGAGATGATTTTTTGTTTGGTGCAAAATTTGCTGTAAAATGGTGCAAAATTCACCTCAAATTTTGGCGTAGGGTTGGAGATAACTTTAGAGTTAATATGAGGATAGTACCTTACTAGCAAACTGCACTTGTACCTAGTTATCAATAGCTCAAACTATTGCTGAATGTGCATCTGTTTTTTCCTGATTCGTTTAAATTGTTTAGTTGTTAGGTGGGATGAATACTAAGTGAGTTCTGATGTGGAAGTTTTTTCTTTTATTTAGGGAATATTAGCTTATTCATATTTTACTTTTGAATAATGTGACGTAAACAGATTTTGTGAAATCTCTCCCTATTTGTTTTGCAGCCAGAACTTAAATATGAACTTTATGCTGTTGTCGTGCACGTTGGATACACATCTACTTCGGGCCACTATTATTGCTTCATTCGTGTATCCCCTGATACATGGTGCAAGTTTGATGATTCCAAGGTAATGTATTGGATATTACTGGTATTGTATTTATTTTCTGTTGCTAATTGAATTACTTCATAAGCAATGGAAGTGAGACCTCTATACTCTTTTTTTGTCATCTGGAGTTGAACAATGTTAATCAGGTTTTGTTGATGACATTTAGCTTTATGAGTCCTGACAACTTCTGCTTTTCCCAAGTATCCTTGGACCACTGAGTATGAAGAAAGATATTGATGCTTAATTGCAATTTTGTAGGTCGTTCGGGTTCATGAGCAGTTTGTACTGTCACAGGAGGCATACATTCTCTTTTATGCAAAACAGGGCACCACCTGGTTTTCAAATTTCATTGAATCTCAAAAACTAGGCATCCACTCAACTATATTGAACACCTCTCCCAAATCAGTGTTGGATAATGCAGACATCTATGCATCTCCTGTTGTGCAAAATTATCACAGTTCTGATGTCAATGGAAGAAATGACACTGCTGATGAATCTCTTCCAGAGGATTATGGTGAACCAAAACATAGTGGAGTTGAGAACATTGAAAATAAAGATAATCGATCAAGTACAATAGATGATTTGCCCAAAGAGTCTACTTCATTGCCAATGGTAGCAAGTAATTCATCCAATGTAACTTCACATGTTGCTCACAAAGTAATTTCTTCAAGTTCACTAAAAAAAATTAACATCGAGGACGTTGGTGCTGTTGGAAATAAACCAAATATTACTTTAACACCTCAGAGATCTTCAAGTCCGGAGATTTACAGAGAAGACCAACCAGGTAAACTTAATCATAGTTGGTTCTGTTGAAGTTCCCATTTGATTGATTTTATTAGTACGGAAAGTCAAACATTTGAAACTGTTTTTTGTTTTCAGATGCTGGTTTATCTATTCCGCGTGACCATCTGAGGTTGGTGGATAGTATATCTTGTAAGAGAAAATTGGAGAAGGATTTGGATGATCTGGAAACAAAGCAGGCCTTTTCATTAATAAAGAAAAGCATTCCGGGTTTCAGAGGTCAGCAGTTAATGGCTGCATTGATGGGGCCACGCAGTGAAGGTGCTGTGAATAAGAAGAGGAGTAAAAGAATAAGTTCATCTCCAAATAGAGGTAAGAGTACTTCGACTACTCGTGACAGGTCAAGCATTGGAACTAAAGCTCGCCCTTTGGTTGCTGGGGGTTTCAGGTGAACATGATTTCTTGCAGGTAGTCTCAGATGAACGGGTTAGTTTTCGTAAATCTGTTAAATGGATGGTCCATGTAGTTTTTACTGGATATTTTGTTGGAATTTCTGTTTCAACAAATAGGTGAGGGCACTCTCTTTTTTGGGCTCTAGTGTGTGTAGAATTTATGCTTCCTCTGGGCAGTTGGCCTGTAGGTAACATTTTTTTAGCTTTGTTAATATTTGGTGTAAAGTCCAGTAAAGATTATCAATATTATCTTTATGGGGAATGATAAGGGTATTGAAATATGAAAGTTGAGCACTGAGTTTATTTTCTAGATTTCACAATATGTTGTTTTTACTGCTTGGTTTTATTGTTTAAGTACAACATACTTGCATATGGATTTCCCATGGTAGAGGTGGTGGAGCGTGGGCTTTAGGATGACTTTACTTGGAGGTAGATGGAATTGGGCTTGCATAGAGATGGCAATGGGCTGAGCTGGGCGGCTTGGATACCAAGCGAACCTAGCTCGGCTTGCTCTGGGGAGAGTAGAGCACGAGCTAGCTTGACTTTAAATTTTCGGGCTCAGCTTGCCCCATAGGCTTGCTTATTAGTGAAGCTGAGCTTCCCATGGGTGCAAACCAAGTCAATGAGCCGGAGAACGGTTTGTGCCCATTGCCATCTCTATGCTTTTGGGGCATTTCAAAAGAAAAAGGTGAACTCAGTTTTTGTGAGGGTGCAATTGCATATTTGTAGTATAGTATAGTTAACAAGATTTCAGGTTTTATTTTTCTCCTTCAATACTATTCAATGTTTGTTAGGAGAACAAGGCAACAAGCTTGTTTATTGATGTTAGCTTTGAGATGAACTGAATTAAGCTCGTGTTGGTTAAAAAAAAAAGATAAAAATGGAAAGAATTTCACCCAGTGTTTAACCTGAGAAATGTCCAAGGGAAACTCTTCCCTTGTTTAAAGGTCATAGAGACCTCTTCTTATCTTGGCGTAATTTCATGGAGGTGGAATGATATTGACGTCATGGGGAAGAAACCAGATTAAAATGGTAGCCTCGTATTAGAGCTGAGATTTAGAACTATTGGGATACCATAGCGCAACCCACCCGGGCTAAGTCTATTTCAATTCCAAATTAGCCAACGTCAATTCAAATTCAAGAATAAGGCAGGGCTATTCGTGCTTCAACCTTTACTAAGGTCATGTTTGAGCCTTATTTTTTTTGGAAAAAATGTATTTTTGAATAGTGTTTTGATTTCATTTCAATTACACATTCTTCAATAAAATAATATAGATGAAAATTCAAAAAAATTCTTTATTTTTTAATTACACATTTTTCATCTATACGTTATTCAAAAATGCATTTTTTAAAAATAAAATTGGGTTCAAACAAGGGCTAATTGTTTGGCCATCAATCTATTATTGAAAAGAGCGTTGGTTTCTTAGACGTCTAATCATCTACTAATGTATAGGTATGCCATTTACTTCAAGGATGATTACTTGTTACTTAGTTCATGTTTGACACCCATTCTCATTTTCATTTTTTTCTCTTACTTTATTTTAATCATACATTCTTTCAATAAAATAATATTACACATAAATTTAAAACTTTTTATAATTTTTCCACTACACATTCTTCCATTAATCACTATTCTAAAAATTTTTATCTTCAAAAAATGGGTGTCAAACACACCTTTAGTGTTCTAAAAAATTCATCTAAGCTTGAAGTTCGAGGAAATGTTTCGCTTCGCATTTATACATTTTTTTTTCAATCTTCGCATCTAAACGTTTTTTTTTTCAATTGTTAAACGGTTGAATTTTTTCCTTTTTCTCTTTCGTCTTTTTTACACGCGCTTTATTAGTTTTTTTTTATATATATATTTTTTCCTTTTTTATAAATTTGATTTTAGCTTATTATTATTTTTATTTTTCTTAAAAAACTTTTTGTTTGGCTTTAATTTCAAGTTTTTTGAAAAAAATTATTTGTACTAAAGTTAAAAAATGATTTTATCTTATAAGATTTAAGCTATGGTGCTATCTATAATATGTAATTATGATTTTGAGATTCATTATTTTGTTGCAAATTTCAAAAGTATGAATGGAATTCCTATAAATCTATTAAGTATGATTTATTTAGTTGAAAATTGAAATTATAAAAAATATTTTAATTTTTCCATTTCAAAAATTTGAAAATTGTATGATTGAGTAATAGTAAGAATTATTAAGTAAATATAGTATTTTAATATTTTAGATGTTTGATATATATTATTTTAATTATTAAATGATTTAAAATTTAAAATAATATTAAAAATAAGGAAACGTTTTTTTATGCTTAAATTTCGTCTATGCTCATTTAAACTTGTAAAGCTTAAAGATTCGCTTTCATGCTGATTCACGCTTTACGCTTTTTATAATACTACTGTTACTTAACAAGTATAACCATGAAATAGGGGTGTAGCAAAACCCAAAATAATTTGTTGAACTTTTTCAAATTTTGTTCAACGAGCCAAGCATAAGTTAAGCATTATTTATTTATTTACTTATTGTTTGGTTTTTTAACCCAATTTTATGATGAGTACTGTGATTCCTCAACCCATCATGGTGTAGTATTTGCAAATAAAAATAATCATCAAAACAAATTAATACAAAAATTAAAAAGAACAATTTTGGCTCATGTTTTTACCTAATTAAGGAGGAAAAAAATCAGAATGTCATATCATAACATGGATAATAAAGCAAGGAAGAGTTACAATGCAATAGAATTAACAGTTTAAAGATTTGTGGCTTGGAATTGAAGATCAAAAGCAAGAAAAAGTTGAAATTAATTGAAGACTCAATAAAAGGAATTTAATGGAGGCGAAATCGATTCTTTGTCCGATCTTTACAAATATATTTTTCAGAGGATGAATATTCAAAATAAATAAATAAATAAATAAAAATTGTTTTTTGTAAAATTAACATGCTATGCTAAATACATTTAGTGTTGGGACGATGATGTAGGAATAAAACAATAATGTTTTCTGTCATAAGATCATTCATGTTGAATCATCAATAACTAATTAACCAAAAGCGGAAGCGTACCCGGATCAGACATGATTATCACAATGAATAAGTCCTGCGGTTTTAGTCTTCCAGATCAACACGTTGTTCCTTAGTTCTCTCTAAAGATGGGAGTCAGAATAGA